TGTTTTTTTTTTTTTTTTTTTTTGGTTTTTTGAGACAGGGTTTCTCTGTGGCTTTAGAGCCTGTCCTGGAACTAGCTCTGTAGACCAGGCTGGTCTCGAACTCACAGAGATCATATTTCTTTCTTTCTTTTTTTTTTCTTTTTTTTGATTTTTCGAGACAGGGTTTATGTTAATTTTTAAATATTATTATGTCTGTCTTACTTTAATAAGAATATTGAGGTGAGAAAGCAGTATTTTATAAGAAAATTAGTTTACATATTGTGTTCAAAAAATCTTTAAAATGTATATATTAAAATGACAATGTTTCCTTTCTCCCCCCCTCAGCATAGGGCTACTTTCAAATTTGAACCAACAGATGAAGATAAAAGAAAGGTAAGGTTTGATGTGTGTGTGTGTGTGTCTGTTACTCCTGGATGGTTTAAGCAGTGGACTTGTTTTCATCTAATGGTTGTTGATTAGTTTTTTTGTTTCAGTTCAGTTTTTTTCAGGAATCCTGAGAAGAAAGAGAGGTAGCAGGTTTAGGATGGGTTACACACAAACCCCTCCTGTTCATCCCCACCGAATCCCTGGGCTTACTTCAGTAGGAGAAAGGCTCAGGTGGGACTAGCACTAAAGTTTTTACTGCTAACGGGTTGCCCTGTTTTGCTGGCCCAATTCCAGGTTGTACACAGTGTTGGCTACTGTACAGCATGGCTGTGCTGGGCTAAGTTTGGGGAAAGCAGCTTTCCACTGCTGTTCTGTGCCTGCTTACTGTCACCTTGTGTAGGTTACCAGCCGCACAGTCACAGAGGACGGAATCAGGAGAGCCGCACACAGGAGCTCCGGTGAGAGAGGGCTCTTCGGTGCATGGCTGCCTTCCTTGGTGGATGAGGATTAACCAGTCCTCCCTTTTTGTTTTTCTGGCTCCCATACCCCTATCCCAGCCCCACAGATTCTGAGAGCAGATAAGAGTCTGACTGAGTCAGGGTGTATTTCTTGCTGCTTGAAGAAGAGAGGCTTAGATGCTGGTAGAGGATTGATAACCTTACACCTGCCCATTACCTCTGTCTGTGTTCAGTTTCTCTGCACCTCCTGAGATTTAGATCAGACCTTCATCTGGATCACTGTATTAGTTTATTTTGATTTACTTTTTATTGTTGTTTTTGAGACAGGGTTTCTCTGTGTAGACCTGGCTGTCCTGGAACTTGCTCTGTAGACCAGACTGGCCTTGAACTCAGAGATCCACCTGCCTCTACCCCAAGCGCTGGGATTAAAGGCCTGTGCCTCTGCTGCCTGCTACTACATTAGTTCTTGAGCTGTCTTCTCACTTTCTGTGACCTGTGGCTCTAGCTGTAGCTGCCTGCCCATAGCCTAAGGCAGCAGCCTGGCTGTGTCATTCTCAGCCTTGGAGTCTTCCAGTGACCACCCGTGCTGATGGGATGGTGTGGCAGCCGTGATCTGCTCTCTGTTCTTCGCAGCCGGTTTTCTCTGTTGCCCTTGTGTCTTATGTTCTGGCATACATGTTCGTAGTTACACATACAGAGTACTCTTTCTAGTTTTCCTCCCTCCTTATCCGTTAACTCCTCCGTGCGAGACCCTGAGGACTCATCCTTTCACGTCTGCAGTTCTCAGGACACGGTGAACAGGACGGCTGCTAAACGAATGCCATGGAGTGCAGCGAGGGCTCGCTTCTGGGTGTGGACAGACAATACCTTCTGCAGTAGAGTTCATTGACTGGACATGCTTTTTGAATAGCTTTAAAAATTGGCCTTCTTAGGAACACCCAGAAGCTGGGGAGTGGGTCCCAAGCATGTGTTTATCTGAAGGTAATCTTCAGGGACAAGTCTTTGTTCCAGCGACACAGTGCGTGGAGGGGAAGTTGGTGTTACCTATTTAATTAAGAGACCTTTTGCCATTTGACCAAAATACGTCACTTTTGGAGATCTGTTTTATGTTTAGATTGAACCCAAGTGAGCAAATTTTTTTCGTTAAAACGTACATAAACAGCAAAAGATGGGAAAGAGCCAGTTAAGGGATATTGGGAAGAACAAATGGTACGTTGTCAGAATGCTGTAAAGTAGTAAAAAGAAAAAAATTAGAATCTGCGCTATTGGAAAAGAAGAAAGTATTTAAATGCAGCATATTGAACGGTAGACTCATGACAGGCTCACGGGAGGAGGGCAGAACGCGCCCTGCACTTGTATACTAAGGCTTTACTGGGGCAGACTTCAGGTCTTTGATAGTGTTCTCACTCATCATAAGCACATTAAAGGCAGCAGAGAGCACCCAGTCAGTAGAGCGTGCTTCACAGTCGAGGCTCCAGTTCAGACCACAGTTCAGACTAAAGAGAGACTAAAACATCCATCTCTGGGAACCCCCCCCACACACACACCTGCACATGCATACGGGCGTATAAAAAGCTAAATGCAGATATTATAAATATTAGTTGAGAAGGGAATTGTCCTATATTAATTCTCCATGTTGTTTGTTTTCTGTAGATAGGAGAAAACCTGTCATTTCCTAACCATTCTCCCCACCCTCTGTCTACATGGGTGTCTACATGGGTCAGCAACATTCCTCTGATGCGCACACAACCCCCAGATACTCAAGTTCCTCATCTTCCCATATACTTTAAATCATCGCTAGGTGCCTATTATGATGTGAATGCTTTGTAAAGTGATAGTGTATTGTGAGTGATGATGAAAACATCCCTATCTGTTTTGATCCAGAGGTTGTTTGCATCTGTGGTGTGGAGATTGCCCTCTGCTGCTTTCAGCTCTCTGGAGAGAGTAACTTCTGCCCTACTGTTTATTGCAGTGTGTGTAGGTTTCTGCTTCCTGGGAGGTCTGTTGTAAACAAGTGTCAGTAGGGACCTCGCTAGGTAATTCTCATTAATGGAAAACATTGACAAACAAATCCATTCCAGTCTCCGATGGTTAAAACCATTAGTGACTCTGATGCTTGCATTTCCTTTCAGACAAGGGCAGGGAAACTGGGACAGCTCCAGTGCTAACCGCACAGACGCTCTCTGGGAACAGTAGGAGGCACTTCTCTCCATTGAGTTCAATGTGAAAATACAGGAAATCAAATTGCCAAATAGTTTCTTTTGCTGCTCTTATATATTGTCCTAAGTATGCTTCTAGAGCAGTGGTTCTCAGCTTGTGGGTCTTGACCTCTTTGGGGGTTCCATTTCAGACATTTACGTTATGATTTATAACAGTAGCAAAATTTCGGTAATGAAATAGCAACAAAGTAGTTTGGTGTTTGGGGGTCACGACAGCAGAGGAGCTGGATTAAAGGGTTGGGGCATCAGGAAGGCTGAGAGCCACTGCTCTAGAGCCTCTGTCAGTAGCTACTTGGTAACAGAAGTTCAAGCCCTCCCCTCCTTTCTTAAAGTGCTGTGCTAAAAGCAACACCAACTAAAATCCCACCCATAGTAATATCTTACCTATATTAAAAAGAAAATTTTGTGACAACCTAGTATAGTGTGAGGGGCAGTGCCTTCAAAAAAAAAAAAACCAACTTCATTCTACTGACTTCTCTAGATCTAGCTACTGACCCTCTGCCATGGTTCTTAGTTTTACAGAGATGGGCTTCTCCTCACTAGTGCCCTTGAGGACTGAGGTTTGTGCTCACACTGCTGGAGTGTGGTGGCGCCTCTGTGGAAAGAACTCCCTGCTGTGTGCAGGTCTTCAGTGCTCCCCGCTGTGTGTCTGTCATGCATTGAAGCAGATTTTGGAATACTCGACATTACGGTCTGAGGCCTTGTTCTATCTCTTATTTCCTCACTGTTGAGACACCACTGGGAGTCAGCAAAGGGAATCAGCAAATGGGAATGTGTGGATTTTCCTTAAGGAATAAAGTCAGATGCAGTTCCAGTGTTTGTGCATGCGATGCAAATTGTGACAGGTGCGCGTGAGTCATCGTGTGTGTGGATGGAAGCACCTGCGCTGCTTTACATCTTCACCTAAGTGATGGGCTGCTATTACCTGTCAGCCCATAAACAAATGTGCCATGCAAACATGCGGGGGGGGGGGGGGGGGGGGGGGGGGGGGGGGGGGGAAGGGATGATGAGTGATCTGGAAACCCACATTGAGACAAACCAAAGCATCCCTCAAAGCCAGGAAAGAGTATTGCAATAAAAGTTAAAAAGATACGTCATAAAACGACTAGAGCTGAATGACAGCTCAGGGTCACGGTTTGCCTAACCTGTGAGGCTCCGAGTTCAATCCCAGTACTGGGGAGTGGAGAGAGGAGTAGTGTGCTTGAAGCTCCTTGACCTGAGGCTAAGAATACAGCATTCTCAGCTGTGGAAAAGCCACAGTTGTCTAGGACAACCGACTGTATTGACATACCGCCCTCAAAAGAACCAGCGTTTCAATACCTTACTAACGGTATGTGAGATACCGCCCTCAAAAGAATGAGCGTTTCAATACCCAAACTTCAAGCGTATTTTATAATTCCAGACTCATTTCTGTTCAGCCATGGGGTGTTTGCTAACTTGAAACCATGAGCTCTTTAAGGGGACCCGGCACTTGAGTGACTTAGGTTGTGTTCTCAGCTCCCAGCACCGCATGTGCACGGCAGTGATGTCAGTGAGATGAGGGAGAGGCCAGGCCTGGGGGCACAGCCTTTAATTCCAGCAGTGAGTTCCAGGCCAGCCTGGTCTACACAGAGAGTTTTCAGGACAGCCAGGGCTACACAGAGAAACCCTGCCTTGAAAAACCAGCAAACAAACAAACAAAAGGCTGGGGAAAGGAACTTGGAGGTTGGGTGGAGCCAGCGCGCCTGTGATGAGAGCATGCTGTGTGGTTTTGTGCTTTGTGTCTCCTAGTTATACTTCAGAATCGCAACACAGCTCACGATGTTCACTCAGAGGGCAAGATAAATATGTTTGGAGAGTGATCACAGCTGTAATTGTGGTAACAACTACACAGAAGATACAGCAAGGAAATGCACAGAATGCTGCTACTTGAGGGTCACTGCTGTGGAGTAGGTTTCTTTTTCTGTAAACTTTTGGATTATAATAGGCTGCACTGATTTCAGAACATAATTATAACAACACAGTATAATACAAAATAGTATTTTAGAATAGTATGGTTGGGGGCATAAACATAAAGCAATGCTTTGTTCTTCCTTTTCTTTCTTTTTTTTTTCTTTTTTGTTTTTTGTTTTTTTCAAGGGGGTTTCTCTGTGTAGCCCTGGCTATCCTGGAACTCACTCTGTAGACCAGGCTGGCCTCAAACTCACAAAAGATCCACCTGCCTCTGGCTCCCAAGTGCTCAGAATAAAGGTGTATACGACACCACCTGGCTTCTTTTTTCTTAATTGTACATTTTTTTCTAAAACTGAATTTTATTGATTACCTTACTAAATAAAAGTAGTATTACTTA